AGAGATAGCAAAAACATTAGGCGTGGCCAAAACAACTGTTTGGAACATTCTTAAAAAGAAGGAACGCACCGGTGAGCTCAGCAACACCAAAAGACCCGGAAGACCGCGGAAAACAACTGTGGTGGATGACTGAAGAATTCTTTCCCTGGTGAAGAAAACACCCTTCACAACAGTTGGCAAGATCAAGAACACTCTCAAGGAGGTAGGTGTATGTGTGTCAAAGTCAACAATCAAGAGAAGACTTCACCAGAGTGAATACAGAGGGTTCACCACAAGATGTAAACCATTGGTGAGCCTCAAAAACAGGAAGGCCAGATTAGAGTTTGCCAAACGACATCTAAAAAAGCCTTCACAGTTCTGGAACAACATCCTATGGACAGATGAGACCAACATCAACTTGTACCAGAGTGATGGGAAGAGAAGAGTATGGAGAAGGAAAGGAACTGCTCATGATCCTAAGCATACCACCTCATCAGTGAAGCATGGTGGTGGTAGTGTCATGGCGTGGGCATGTATGGCTGCCAATAGAACTGGTTCTCTTGTATTTATTGATGATGTGACTGCTGACAAAAGCAGCAGGATGAATTCTGAAGTGTTTCGGGCAATATTATCTGCTCATATTCAGCCAAATGCTTCAGAACTCATTGGACGCCGCTTCACAGTGCAGATGGACAATGACCCAAAGCAGACTGCAAAAGCAACCAAAGAGTTTTTTAAGGGAAAGAAGTGGAATGTTATGCAATGGCCAAGTCAATCACCTGACCTGAATCTGATTGAGCATGCATTTCACTTACTGAAGACAAAACTGAAGGGAAAATGTCCCAAGAACAAGCAGGAACTGAAGACAGTTGCAGTAGAGGCCTGGCAGAGCATCACCAGGGATGAAACCCAGCGTCTGGTGATGTCTATGCGTTCCAGACTTCAGGCTGTAATTGACTGCAAAGGATTTGCAACCAAGTATTAAAAAGTGAAAGTTTGATTTATGATTATTATTCTGTCCCATTACTTTTGGTCCCTTTACAAGTGGGAGGCACATATGCAAACTGTTGTAATTCCTACACCGTTCACCTGATTTGGATGTAAATACCCTCAAATTAAAGCTGACAGTCTGCAGTTAAAGCACATCTTGTTCGTTTCATTTCAAATCCATTGTGGTGGTGTATAGAGCCAAAAATGTTAGAATTGTGTCGATGTCCCAATATTTATGGATCTGACTGTATACATCACTTTTTGTTGTATGTACATTTATATTGAATTTATTGCATTTATACAAAATTTTAAATCAAGGGACCATTGAGAACATGTGGTAAGGCTGAATTACATTTGATTTCATACTATTTGAGGTGTCCTATTACATAGGATGATCCACATCTTTAAAAAAAGTAGATTTATAGTGTAGCTCTAGGTCAGTGTTTCTCAACTCCAGTCCTTATGGACCCCCAACAGGTCATGTTTTCAGGATTTCCCTCAGATGAAACAGCTGTGGTAATTACTAAGGCAGTGAAACTGATCAAATCACCTGTGCAAAATAATGGAAATCCTGAAAACATGACCTGTTGGGGGTCCATGAGGACTGGAATTGAGAAACACTGCTCTAGATGATTGTAGCCGTATTCTACGAAAAAAACAGTAGTGTACGATTTCTGCACACCTGTGGGACATCATTTCTCACAACCAGGCTACACTATGGGAGACCTGAATGTTTTATTTCTTAAAGGGAACTTTAAAACTACTCAGGAAGGGAAAGCTTTTGAACAAAGAATGATAATTCTATTTGACACAAACCATAATGGTCTAAATGTAGACCTCAACTTCATAAACTGTTCAAATCTCGCCTAGTTCAGGAGGGACCAGCCGAGATCCAAACCATGTATTGGCAGGCTGAATGTACCCAAGTTGATCAAAAGATCAACTTGGGTACAACCAGCCTCTCAGATTTTACACGTGATTATTGCTAATGTCTATTTTAGCTTCTACCAGTAATTTTTGTGTTCTTCCAATGGGGATGGCTCCCACCCCCCCTCCCCACTAGAAGACAATGGCCCCACAGGAGGGATTCCGCCTTCAACACCAAAGCAGCCAAAGACAATCAACACCAAAACAGCAACCACAGGCAATTGCTCCATCTATGGCGGGCTTAAATCACTATTCAATTTTTTTTTTTTTTCTACTACTCTAAACTCTGTGACTCCCCCTCCAATTCCTCAGCCTTTTCTCTACCTTTTCCTACCAGCTATTAAAACCTAATTACCTTTACTGTGTACATTTGTGTGTGTGTGTTTTTCCCTCATTAAAATGGCAAAGAATGTTATACTCCCTTAGATGACTGGGCCTGCCATGAGTATGGCCCAACCATAGGAATGAATGGGCTGAGTACATGTAGGAGCTAGGTATACTGGAAATAAGTACAGAGCCACACAGTGAACTACTCGGGGGCAGAGCTGAAGTCAACTTTTCACGTAGTTGGCTGCCTCTGAGGGGAATGGGGGTGTTTTTTAACAAATTTTATAAAAAATGTAAGGAAGAAAGCACTCCAGTGCCTTGTCCTAATGAACCTGTGTTCAGAATGCAGCTGAGTAGGACCTGGAAGCTGGATGAGATCACTTATGTAGTGGTGTTCACTTCAGTGATTTCCAGCTTCCATGGGGATCAGCCAATTGTGACATACAGTATACATATAAAGAGGAAAGGATCACCACTATTCCAAACCAGCCCAGGTGAATAAACAGTAAGAAGCGGCCTCAGCCTACATGTCTCCACCAAAACACACACCCTAAAGCATTTCACCCCAACACTGGGACTTAGTCATAGCGGGGGTGACTATGCCCCAGAGGCTCCTTATCGTTTATTCAACTGGGCTGGTTGGGAGCAGTGGCAAACCTTTCTTCTTTACATTTACCAGCATTCTAGATCAGGATAAACCTGGGGTATAAGGATTTGTAAAAGGATTGAAATAAGGATTTGTAAAAGGATTGAAATACTATAAGATTCTTTAAAGGAAAGAAATACTGAGCCAGATATGTAGGATGCTGATGGCTGAATGATTAGCACTTCCGCCTGGCAGTACCAGGGCTGTTGGCTTGAATCCCAACCACAGCACCTCCTGCCTGGAGTTTGCATGTTCTCCCTGTGCCTGTGTGGGTTTTCTCTGTGTACTCCAGTTTCCTCCTACACTCCAAAGACATGCTGGTAGGTTGATTGGCTCCTGTCTAATTTGGCCCTAGTATGTGTATGTATGAATGTGAGTTAGGGACCTTAAATTGTATGCCCCTTGAGGGTTAGGGACTGATGTGAATGTACAATATACAGTGAGGAACAGAAGTATTTGAATACCCTGCGATTTTGCAAGTTCTCCTCTCCTGTCCCCTTCGCAGAAAAGCACCCCAATGCATGATTTTACCACCCCCATGCTTCACAGTAGGGATGGTGTTCTTGGGATACAACTCATCCTTTTTCCTCCAAACACGACGAGTGAAATTTAGACCAAAAAGTTCTACTTTGGTCTTATCTGACCACATGACTTTCTCCCATGCCTCCTCTGGATCATCCAGATGGTCATTGGAAAACTTCAGACGGGCCTGGACATGTGATGACTTGAGCAGGGGAACCTTCCGTGTAATGCATGATTTGAAACCATGCTCTGGCACACAGGGATATGCTTTCACCTCTACTTTGAGTGGCTCCAAAAGCAATATAACAGGTCTCAATGGTATATACCATTATATATGGTATACTTGTCCAAGATAGACCAATGCAGGGGCGGACTGACCATTGGCGAACTCGGGCACTGCCCGAGGGCCCGGGGTCAGTAGGGGGCCCCATGAGATGCTCCTGGTACCTTTCATAGGCTTTTTTGGGTGTGCTTTGAGTGTGGGCAAGGATACAGGGGCCCCATGATCCCCTATTGCCCGGGGGCCCCATGAGTTTTCAGTCCGCCCCTGGACCAATGTATAAATTATTTATACCTGGAATTTTTCTTTATTTTTTTCCTATGAGTAATTGAGGTAACTATAGTAATTGGCTGTGATTTCAGCATATCCTTATTGGCATTCTAAAGTTGTTAGTAACCTTTTAGCTGAAATCGAAGTGTTCTGACGAAACCAGTCTGATTCAATGCCATGGAAAGGGTGTGTGTCAGTATTTACTGCCAGCTGCTGAGACAAACGTACAGAGAAATGGAAGAGAAGTTCATAGTAATAAAAGGTAAGATCGCAAACAAAAGGACCCAGATCTCTAGGTTTTAGCATTGAAAGTGTAAAACTGGTTTTGGCTAGGTCACAACAGAGACTTTACGTGGAAAATTCTGCAGTGAAATCGAATGATATTAAAGCAGCCATTCTCAATCAGGGTTCTTCTTGAGGGTGCTAGCAGTTTTTTGAGCTGTGGGCAATTGACCTCCCATCTGATGGTGTCAGGGCCAACATTACATGGCAGAGTCAACTGTATGACACCAAAGAATATTTAACTATCTGAAAAGATGGCATTCTCTCCTCAACTGTAAATAGGCCATTCTTGCCACTGACCACCAATGTAAGAGGCATTTTGCCTACTGACCACCAGTGAATTGTTTTTAGTAAGGGTTCCCCAAAACCTGAAAATTATTTCAAGGGTTCACCTAGGGCAAGGCTGAGAAAGTCTGCAATAAAGTGACGGGCATTGATGCTTGTTTTTGTGTCGTATGACTTATGCATTTTACATTTTATTATTACCTTTTATTCCTTAAATGGCAAAATATTATACATTGTCATTAATGGTAAAAAAATAAGTGTGGATTAACAATTCTAAACAAATACAAAGATGTAACAGGAGAAGGACAGGGTGTAGCCCATAACTGTGGGTGGGGAAATATTAGACACAAGAGGTAGTTGGTAGACTTATTAGCTCCCTTCTGATAGCAATAAAGTTAAAGTGTTACCTGCATTCACTATATCTGGTCTCCCCGGACCCTGCATTCACTATATCTGGTCTCCCCGGACCCTGCATTCACTATATCTGGTCTCCCCGGACCCTGCATTCACTATATCTGCTCTCCCCGGACTCTGCATTCACTATATCCGCTCTCCCCGGACCCTGCATTCACTATATCTGCTCTCCCCGGACCCTGCATTCACTGTATCTGGTCTCCCCGGACCCTGCATTCACTATATATCCGCTCTCCCTGGACCCTGCATTCACTATATCTGGTCTCCCCGGACCCTGCATTCACTATATCTGGTCTCACAGGACCCTGCATTCACTATATCTGGTCTCCCCGGACCCTGCATTCACTATATCCGCTCCCCGGACCCTGCATTCACTATATCCACTCTTCCCGGACCCCGCATTCACTATATCTGCTCTCCCCGGACCCTGCATTCACTATATCCGCTCTCCCCGTACCCTGCATTCACTATATCCACTCTTCCCGGACCCTGCATTCACTATATCCACTCTTCCCGGACCCTGCATTCACTATATCTGGTCTCCCCGGACCCCGCATTCACTATATCCACTCTCCCCGGACCCTGCATTCACTATATCCACTCTTCCCGGACCCTGCCTTCACTATATCTGCTCTCCCTGGACCCTGCATTCACTATATCTGCTCTCCCTGGACCCTGCATTCACTATATCTAGTCTCCCACAGTACACACAACATGGAAATGCAATTATTTTAGTAAATTTAAACTGATAAATATCTTTTCTCATTAGCAGTTAGAGCAGTCTTGTGACTTCCAACTGAGTACCGGTTGAAGCTTGTAGGAGGAGTTTTCTTTCTGCTCTAGGAGGATGCAGAACCCCTGACCTCTGTCTACACAGTGCAGATTGGCCTTGTGCTGATCACATGCACTCTCCCAAGAAAAAAAAAAAAAACCTCTCTAGCCATACACTCCAAACTGAGCATGTGCAGAGTGTCTCCACACAATATGTCTTATCAGGAGATAAGAGGGTGGCACTAGAAGAAGAGGAGGATCAGAGAAGTCAGGATCAAACTGCCTTTTAACACAATGCAGAGGATTAACCCCTTAGGTTCCACAGTGAGTATAACAAGCATGCTTTACTGCATATACAGTTTACTGTTGTGGGTTTAGTAACATTTTATTATTTACCTGACTGTAGCAAAAAATATTTTATAAAAATTATTCTGTTTTACTGATTGTAATATGATGAAAGAAAAAATTTACAAAACCCCAATACATGTCTATAATAATATGTAGCTGAGCCCAGCGGCAGTAGGTCTGTTGAAAAACAGAATGTGTTGTAACAGGCTGAAAATGAAACTGAAAGCTCTTCTAACGAGACTCTCGCTGCTGCGTACAATTTCCTTGTTTCCTTTGGACCTGTCTGAAGCAGTTTTTACAAGCTGGTGTCACGGCTAAGGTAGGATCACATTTGCCTGCATGTAATACACAGGTGCTGCCTTATATAGGGTGGGGTATAAGGATTTGTAAAAGGATTGAAATACTATATGATTCTTTAAAGGAAAGAAATACTGAGCCAGATATGTAGGATGCTGATGGCTGAAAGATTAGCACTTCCGCCTGGCAGTACCAGGGCTGTTGGCTTGAATCCCAACCACAGCACCTCCTGCCTGGAGTTCTCCCTGTGCCTGTGTGGGTTTCTCCCAGGTACTCCGGATTCCTCCCACACTCCAAAGACATGCTGGTAGGTTAATTGGCTCCTGTCTAAATTGGCCCTAGTATGTGTATGTATGACCTTAGATCAGCAATGGGCAAACTACGGCCCGGCGGACCTTTTAATCCGGCCCGCGGAGCTAGGCTCCTCTCACAGTCCGCCCTGAAGTCCCCAAGTCCCCCTTGTGTCAATTCACTTACCTTTGCTCCGCGCGTTCCTCTCGCCGTGTCCCGCGCCGTTCCGGTGTAGCATGAAAATCTGTCTCCTATGAGGATCTGTCCCCCTCGACGTATCTGCGCATGTGCCGGAGATCGCCGATCGGCTGCTAATGCCTGAAACTGGCACATGCGCAGTTACGTCGAGGGGGACAGATCCTCATAGGAGACAGATTTTCATGCTACACCGGAACGGCGCGGGACACGGCGAGAGGAACGCGCGGAGCAAAGGTAAGTGAATTGACACAGGGGGGACTTGGGGACTTAATATGGGGGATGAATTAATATGGGGAATGAATTACTATATGGGGGATGTATTACTATATGGGGGATGAATTACTATGGGGGATGTATTACTATATGGGGGATGAATTACTATGGGGGATGTATTACTATATGGGGGATGAATTACTATGGGGGATGAATTACTATATGGGGGATGAATTACTATGGGGGATGAATTACTATATGGGGGATGAATTACTATATGGGGGCTGAATTACTATGGGGGATGAATTACTATATGGGGGATGAATTACTAAATGGGGGATGAATTACTATATGGGGGATGAATTACTATATGGGGGATGAATTACTATGGGGGATGAATTACTATAGGGGGGATGAATTACTATGGGGGATGAATGTGAATGTACAATATATATGTAAAGCGCTGCATAAATTGACGGCACTCTATAAATACCTTAAATAATAAATAAATGTCCTTCTGGAACTGTTGGTTGCTTGCCTGTTCCTGGCTGCATTCATTTCTGACTCACCGAGCAAGTTTTTAGCTAGTGCGAGTCCTTAACCGCTTCCATACTGGACACTTTTACCCCCTTCCTGCCCAGGACAATTTTCAGGTTTCAGCACTCTCACACTTTGAATGCCAATTTCGCGGTCATGCAACATTGCACCGAAACTAAAACTTTATCATTTTGTTCACACAACTAGAGCTTTCTTTTGGTGGTATTTAATTACTGCTGGGGTTTTTATTTTGTGATAAATTAACAAAAAAAAGAAAAAAAACACGTTTTGCTTTGTTTCTGTTATAACAGTTTGCAAATAAATAATTGTTCTTCATATATTTAGGCCGAGATGTATTCTGCTACATGTCTTTGGTGAAAATAACCCAAATTAGTGTTTATTATTTAGTCTGTAGGAAAGTTATAGAGTTCACAAACTATGGTATAGATCTGAATATCGATCAATCCTGAAGTACTGACAGCCAATCAAATTTCTGCACATCAATAAAAAAACATCAAATTTATTAAGATTCAATTTTGGTACATATTTCAACCCAAGATCCAACACCTTCATTTCTCTTTCAGTGAATACATCACTCAAATTATAAATTATTATTTCAAAATCACAACAGAGGCAGGATATCTAAGGTAGCTACTTCACTGGCTGGGGTCCCGGTAAGTCTGACTATACAGTCCAGTCTATTGGGAGCTCATATCCCAGGGGTTTCTGATGATGTCATGAGATTGATATATACTATTTGTATTTCCACTTTATGGGCTATCGCCCTACCTTGGAAATCCATCACTGTACCCTTGGCCTCTGTTTTACATAGAGTTGATGCTGTGATGCTCATGGAGTGTATTCATTATACTATATTGGACAAGATGCACTTATTTGATAAAAAATGGGAATCATGGAGGGTTCATAGACATTTATTACATGACTAAAGGCATTTCATTTGAAGGTCGATTTGCGTGTAATGTTGACAGATATATCATTCAACCTATTTTTTTCAATTATATCTCTCATGTACTTCCAATCTATTCTCTTTTCTCTTTTCTTTTCCTCCCTATTTATCTTTATTTATATAATTTTGCCTTTCTGAATTGTACTTTTCAAATGCGCTTTGATATTATTGTACGCATTGTTTGAAACTGTACTTATGTTGTACAGTCTACTTTTTGAAAAAATAAAATTATTTGTAAACAAAAAAAAATCACCACAGAGAATGGAATATGATACCAAGGGGCTACAGACCCCAAGAAAGGGATTGGAGAGAACAGGAAAATTATGGCAGAGGAGAAAGAACAGAAGATATAGAGGAAAGAGAGGAGGCAGGAGAAAAAAAGAGAACATTAAAGACTGGCATTTATAATTTGAGTGATGTTGTATTCACTGAAAGAGAAATGAAGGTGTTGGATCTTGGGTTGAAATATGTACCAAAATTGAATCTTAATAAATTTGATGTTTTTATTGATGTGCAAAAATTTGTGAGAAAATTAAACATTTTTTTTAATTAACCACATGCCGCCCAGCCACTGTACAAATACGGCGGCAGGGCGGCACGGCTGGGCAAACCACGTTTTAAAATGTGTGTTTTCAAATGTGTGTTTTCAAAACAGGTAGGGGGCGCGAGCGAGGCGCGCCACCGCCCTACCTGTCCCGCCAATCACAGCCACGGATGTCAGTCGCCGGGTCACAGCCAATCGTTACTGGCTATGTCCCGGTGATCGGCGGCAATCGCTGACAGAGAGCACAGCTGCAGTAGCTGTGCTTTCTGTCAGTTCCCTGACAGCTCCAGGACATGCTGATTGGGACAGAAGAGTTTATCTGTCCGGAACAGTGTGTCTCCATGCAGTACACACCCCGCCCCCTAGTAAAACACTCCCCTCACACAGTTAACCCTTTCACTGAATAATAAAGTTAACCCCTTCCTCCCCAGTACCATTAGTACAGTGTCAGTGTTTTGTTTTTTTTTTGCACTGATCACTGTATTGGTGTCACTGGGGATGTCAGTGACCCCAAGTCAGTACCCCCCAGTGTCAGAATGTCCACTGCAGTCCCGCCATAAGTCACTGATCACCGCCATAAGTCACTGATCGCCGCCATAACCAACTTTGAGTTTACTATATATTTTTTATAGCTGAAAGTAAAAAATATTGTTTTTTCTTCAAAATGTTTGGCCTTTTTTTTGTTATAGCGTGAAAAATAATAAGCGCACAGGTGATCAAATACCACCAAAAGTAAGCTCTATTTGTGTGAAAAAAAGGATGTAAATTTCGTTTGGGTGCAGCATTGCATGACCGCGCAATTATCAGTTGTTGAATTAGTGCAGCGCCGAGTAGCAAAAAGAGGCCTCGTCATTAAGGGGGGTAAATCCTCTGGAGGGCAGGTGGTTAAACAATACTAAGAGTAAAAATGTGAGTTCCTCACCTAAGGGCTTTCAAAATAGTGGTTTAAAAAATGCCTCCACATTTAACCCTAAAAATCCTGGGAATGCTTTTTTGGAGGTATTTAAAAATATGCTAGAGAATGATATAAAGAATTAGAGGTGAAGGGGTTTAATTATACCCCAAGAGATATTAGATTAGGTATTGAGGATCTTGAAAAGAAGAAGAATATAGTGACTAGAAGGGCGGATAAAGGAGGGAGTATTGTTGTTTTGAACAAGGTTGAATATGAAGAGGAAATGGAGAGGTTATTAAAAATTAAAGATACATATAAAATATTAACAGGAAATCCTACTAAGAAACTTAAACTACAATTAAAACATATTATTAATAAAGGGAAAGAGAGGGAAAAAGAAGCTAGATACCTTTTGATGAAAAATCCCAAAATACCCACCATCTACTACCTACCAAAATTATACAAAAATAAAGAGAAACCACCTGACAGGCCGATAATAATTGGGATCAATTCCCTTTTTGCTAGAGTGGGCGAATATATTGATTCTTTCTTGCAGGCCATAGCTATGAGGAATAAATCATTTTTGAAGGATAGTGGGGACCTTATTAACATTCTTAAAGATTTGAACA